TAAATACTCTAGATTTCAATAAATTTAGTACAACCTAAGATTCATAAATATCTATACATCTGTTAAAATTCAGCTATATGGTCTTTACTATTTGATTTACTTTTGTTTGCAGGTGTGAAAGTAAAAATGCGACGTTGCCATTCGTAATAGAACTGTGTCACTATGACAACGTTGCTTAGCATCTGTATTATTTGATTAATTAGGTTTTAGGAAATCTTAGGGTCAACGCAGACTATTATGTATTTGTTCAAAACTGCTATTCGATCTGTTTTTTTTTTAATATTAGTAAGTTTAAAAGGAAAAGTTTTAGCAAGTGCTGTAAATCCACCACATCTGGTAATCATGTTTGTTTAATTTAGTTCAATAACTGATCTTACTCGAGTGGATTTCCAATTTTGAATCATTAAATTCAATAAAACCCGTTAACTTTTCAATAGGGTTAGGTCAAGACTTATTGGCGGGAGTTTAATTAAATTTAAATCTTCTTATTGAGCTATCCACCCCTGAACTCTTATTGTATTGTGGACGCAAATTCCGTCCTGTACAAATTTGATTCTAAGTTCCATCGGAATAAACAATTTTACTGACTGGAAGAAGTAAATCTTTCAAAATGTCCACGTAATCGATACGTGTGTGAACATCAAATGGAATTTAAAAAAAAACAATATTGACTTGATCGCCATTATTACAATAGGATTAACTTTTGTAAGGAGATTGCTACAATTTATCAAAGAATTTAAGAAAAAACTTCGAGGCATCAAAATATTTTTCATAGAAAATTTGCCTAGATATTTATGAACCTCACTTTGCGCTGAAAAAAATGAACAAAGGATTGCGCACAACATTTAACTAAGTCTTTGTCTGTGCAATATTATTGATATTATGTAGTTACATATTTCTGATGTCACGGAGTGTTTACAATTTATTGTAAGGCAAAGCTGCTTACAGTTTTATGGAACTTACCTTTGATTATATACTCGTATTTTTTATTCATGAACATGGTCAGATATTAAAGAACTCGACTGTACCTAAACCTGAACTCTCACACTGTGACACTGGAGCTAGTCTGCGTAAATGAGACACAAAATGCCCGTATCGCGTAATTCTTGTGCAGTGGACTAATTAGAAGGAGAAAGGTAATTGTTCTGATATGATTTAATAATATTATAGTTTATTAGATGTCCTACGGCGCTCGCCCATCGCACTCAATTAGAGCTTGTTGAGTGATTATTAAAAGTGCATGTTACAGTGTATACGAGTATATACTTAATTTAGGAAGATTACTTCTTGAATTTGAAACAATTTCATTACAGTTCATTTACTACTTACAATGTGTTTGCGTATGTGTCTACGCTCTTCACAATTTTGTTGTAGTGATATATACAAACCTTTTGGCGTCATATGAAAACTAGTAAAACAAATTTATTAAATTGTCTCCGTAAAAAGGTTGTTTGTAAGACATCGCTGTGAGCAATATGACCGCCTATTGTTAAACCGCAATGTATATAATATCTGTACAAATAATACTGCAATAGTGTATAATAAAGAGATAAATAAATAAATAACAAAATATTTCTAAAACAAATTCTATGCTAACCAACGTTTTTAACGCCTAAACAAAATGTAAGAGCCATAAAATGATATTTGGCCTAAAATTACTTTTTCTTCAGGCGCTTTTCTGACGTAAAACTAATAAACACTTTTCTTTATAATTACTATTTTAAAAGTATAACAACGATTCAAACGTAGTCGTACTATTTCATATAAAAATTTGTTGTGTTCAGTTTGGGATCACGCCGTATGAAATTCATAAACTGAATAGTGGTCCCGCCATTTTACTCTCAAAAAAGCGGGACCACCTTTTTTGTAGAATATTTTGAAATTTAATGAATGTGGAATTTTTCTATGAAAGTATGAAATAGTAGAATTTTAGTATTAAATCCTACTCACATCATATTCGAAAAACCTGGCGTGGTCCCGTCATCTTGACCACCTTTGATATGAGTAATAATAATATAATACACTATTTACAAGTGTTTACCTTAAGGCGGCAGTACACTTCCGCTAACTTTGACCAAGCTCCTCAATGCGCCAAATGAGGGCCAAAAACGCGTAGGTTTACACATTGGTGCTTAGCTCATTTTTAGCCTGGCGCACCACTTGCGATGGACGTGGAAGCGTCTCCACGGATGGCGTAGTGGTTAAAACGGTCGCCACGCCGCCGCGCCGCTTCCTACTTTCTCACATGGACACTGTGTGTGATCCATAAATTGTTGTTCTGAGTCTGGGTGTTCTTTGTGTCCGAGGTTGGCGAAAGTGTACAGGCGGCTTTAAGCAGTCACCGTCACATGCTTCTTACCTCACTAAGGCCCTGTACTTTAAAAGACGTCTCCAGTATCGGTTGAACTCTAATTGCCTGAAAGTAGTTTTAAGTGCAGATCTTAAGTATCGATTTTATTATAGAATGCGTTTTAAGTTTTACTCAGCTGAAACTAGTTTCAAGTACTGATTTGAACTTAAAGTCTGTTCTCAATTACGTTGCCGCATTGACATTATTATGCCGTGTTACGTAGCTAATAATTTAAAAATAATTTTCTTTTACAAACATTATTTTTGTGAATTTGTGTATAGTATACTATTGGCTAGTATAGCAAAATTTAATACATTAAATATTAAAATAAAACTGACTAGATAAAGGCTAAAACGAAACGTTGACATTCATCATGTCATTTAATTTAGATTTAATTTTATCAACACTTGTCATGTAGAAATGTCAAACATTTTATATTTCTGAAATTTGTATTACTAGAATAATATTATACTTTTAACATAAACCAAAAGGTTGTGGTGATTTTAATTTAAACAAGTATTGTGTGGGTAAGTAAGTAAAGTGCATTGATTATAGACAAGTAATTCTTTCGTAAATAAAGTAAATTAATTCTTTCGTAATTATTCAGAAACAAATCATCGTAAAACACATTCATTTCCCCTAAAATACTTGAGTGTGGATCGGTGAATCTCGTTTTAAGTGACGTTCAATAAATAAATCTCTACTTAAAATTTTAGTTTTGAGACTAGATTCACGACTGAGATATACTGTTTGTCAGATCTCTGCGTATAAAATAGTTAAAATGAACATAACCTTACCATGGTCCTTTTGCGCCAATTTTGTCATGTAGTGTCACGCACGAAGGTACGAAGGGTATTTATTGAAAATACCTAATGCTGTTAATTGTTCGACTATTTCCTTCCATTTTTTTATTTCTATGTCCTGGGTCATTTTTTATTTTCATAAATTAAGCTCAAAATGGTAAGATCAAAGCAAACAATCAAAGTTACACTAGTGATTGATTCATTATCATTTCAGAAAATAAAATAATTTCTAAATATGCCAAAGTCGGCGTAATTCGACATTTCGATCCATTGTCAGTAATAATTTGACTGAGGTTTTTTTAATATTAAGGTTTACTAAACGCGTTTTTAGATGAAAAATATGTTAAGATTTTACCTGTCGATTTTTGACATAGTTGTCACATTTATTAAACAATCCTGTAATTTTGTCCCTTTTTGACATGTTTGTCGAAATGTCAGTTTCATAAAACAGGGCCCAGGGTGTAATCCCGCCGCGGCCGCTGACATACCGCCTACTGCCTCCCCCTCCCACTCCCTTTGAGCACCGCACCGCACACAACAGTAAAGTATTGCTATGACTAGCAGATTTTCGATTCAATTTTCGGTTACAATATGATATCGTCACTCATCACTTCACAGTCAACGTTGGATGTTTAATACTTTACTACGAAAAATACCTTTTATGACCGTTGTGAGATCGCAAGTTGATCGGCACTGAATTGAGATCGAACTTTTATGACGAGAATTGGCCCTCTGGTATTTGCTGCCGACCGCACACCTTCATTTGCCTAAACTTATTACTTTCATAGCTTCTTCATAAGAATATATACTTTTTATTAATTACTACTGAAGTAATTAATTACTTACCTTCTAGGTTTTGACTAATTAGCTAGTGCTAGTTTAAATGTAGATAACCGGACTTTGGGTCCTAACCAAGGTTCTTTTCAAAAGTTATTCAAATTTTGTAAATGTCACGATGAATAGCAGCGTAGTGATGCGTGCGGCGTATAAAATAAACAAACTCACTTTCTCATTTATAATATCAGTTAGGATAGTATTCACATACACAAAAGACGGTTATGAGACAAAAAGCGTGACGACAATAAACAAGTGAAAATAAATACTTAAACCAATTGAAACGGAGCGACATCACAGTCTTGTCGCCGCGCTCACACCGTTGATGAATCGTTGCTTGTAATGCGATTTAAATTAACTTTATGTGCACTTACAAAACATACGGTTAATGTGTTTTATACGCTCCATGACCAGGATTGCTTTCTTGCACCCATGATTGGATTCCACAACACAACAACCTATCACAAAGTCGATAGTAAAATGGACAGTATTAAAACACATTAAGTACCTTTACGTTTTTCAATCTACATTGCGCCCCAACATCCTTTTAATGACCATAAAGTAATGTTCAAATTGTGATAAATTATTGCAAATATTAGCTATTTTTAATTTAATAAGTAAATAATTTCAGCCGCTACTGACTACGGTTGTGATAGGAACTACTTAAACTCAAGTGCGAGAGTTAGCACAGTCACACATATAGCACGAGGTCGATTCTTTGTTACCAAGCTGCGGGCGCGGCGCCACTTTATTAATAATTTTACATTATTATTTACATTAAGTATGTACAGGACCGTCGCAGCGCGAAACCTTACATCTACACTAGTAGGAACATAATGTCAGTGGTTTAACATGTAGGTCACTCCACTTCTCCACTCGTGTAAGAATCATCGCTCTTGGCAATATTATTCGTTTTTAAACAACAAAAACAACCACAAGATAAGAACGGAGGTGGTCGGGTTTGGTTATGAGATGGAACTCTGGAATAGAAGCCAATCAATGTCCACTAGAGACTATTTCGGAAGTAATTTGTATTTGGTCTCTGAGGCCACCACCCCCTCAATGACACAAATCTTGTTGTCTTCATCACTATCCACTACAGAATTGCTCAAGTTCATAGCGTCCCGCTGTCCTCGCTCGCTGTTTCTGGTCCCCGCGTCCTCCTCATCCAACAAACTGTGCAGGAAGGTGAGACACTGGCGACGAAACAAACGTTGCTTTGGCGGCGGCAATTCCTGGTAATCATTATAAATTCCTCGAAAGAATTGAAAATAGGCGGAGTTTTCGTCAGGTTCAAAGGATCCAGGACTCGTAGGCTCGTTGAGGCTCACTAGCGGTTCCGGTGCGGGATCGGGCGGGGTCTGGCCCGCCAACGCACTGAGCCAAGGGTTGGGCAGGAAGGGCTTGAAGTCCACAGAATCACTGCTCGATGCCCCCTCCTCGGATGGCTTTATGTCCAGGTAAAGCGGTGAGTAAGAATATCGGGAAGGTCGCCTGCGAACAGAACGTATACCTCGTTACAAACGCGACTAATGGATTTTTCAACTTTTCTCACCTCGATGCACTTATTACCTTCATGTATGGGCATCTTCTACGTGTAAAGGTAAGCATTGGCTTATTAAACGGTCACATTACATTTTAAACCCTTCCTTTCATAATAGGGGACAAGTGTATGGCCGACAACCAGGAACTTTAATAGTTGGATGGGAATATTAGGAATAAAAGGTAAAGTTGGTATGTTGGGGAGGCAGTGGCCTACCATATCTCCTAACAGGGATATTGATTAAATGGGCCTATTGTCCGTGTGGTGACGGATTTAGAATACAGAGTGTCACCACCCCTATTCATCCCGTGGGTGTCGTCACAGCCGACTAAGTGGGCAAACTACGCAGGACAACGGCACTGCAAAGACAAGGAAAACTTGACACAAATCCTATACCAACCCGTCTGGCCAGCGTGGTATAGTAGGCCAAAACCTCCTTTCTAAGGAGAGGCCTTTGTCCAGCAGTGGACTATGACAGGCTTGGTGATGATTGGGCTGTGGCTGGTGAGCAGGTCAAAGTCTGTAACTCAAACTGGCTGTTGCCGCGAGGACCGTCTTTGAGTTCGTTCCAACTTTGTAGAATTGGTGGTGGTTGTTCGTGAGCACATATGTGGTTAAATAGCAATAGCGATACTCACGTGTCAGTGGCCATGTGCTCTCGGAGGAAGTCGAGCTCGTCGGCGAGGTACCACTTGGAGACCATGCGGCCGCGGCCGGTGCGCACGCCGTACATCTCGTTGCGCAGGTGCCGCGAGTAGGAGTTGCGGATGTGAGACCATTTGCGACGCACGTCCGCCACTGGGAACGGGTGCCACATATTTATATTCTCATATATCTTATTAGGACAAATTGCCAGTACCCAAACTACGAATAATAGTAACCCCTCTAATCTCACACACAGCAGTCTGATCCCAAACTAGGCAGAGCTCGTACTTTAATAACCAGACTGCTGATAAAGACACTTATAGATTTCTAAGTATATTCATATTAGGCATGGTTTATAATCACAATCACCTGTCATTAATCATATGTTTTTAAAATCATTTCATCACACCTGTGATTTATCTTCAACATCACAGCGACTTTTTATTATTATTACGCTAGTGCCCGACAGGCGAAAGGTCTTAATCTAAAAAAAGGTAGTTTGATTGATCTTGATGGCATTAATCTTTGTATATGACCAAATTTAGTCATTTATTATAGGTGAAATCACAGTGACCCAAACCAGTCATTTCATCAAATGATCGTGCTCATCACAAAATTATTAGTTCTGAGTGGGAATCGAACTAACGACCTCTGCCTTAGCAGTCAGGATTACACAACTACTTGACCTACAGGCTGTTCAAACACAAATAACAGTAATACTCTTTATTGTACGCTAAGTATTAAATACTGTTAAAAAACTTAAGCTAAAGCCAAGCATGATGGGGTGAAGAGAATACCTTAGAAAATATGATCCAGTGTCTAGTGAATTAGGATTAAGTAACAAATAGGATACAAATAATGTCACAACTTTGCGATACATATGAACAAATATTATGCACTGAACATAACAAATGAACAACCTCACCATCGCGGGCCACTGAGTTAGGTGCTACCGCTACCCGCTATCGTAAAATGACAGCGTACACCTGCTGTAAGTATAGCCGTAATGCTTATGTGTCACATTATCTGTGTATTGTAATCAAACATCGATTCCTGATCGACAACAAACAGAAGTAAAGTAAGTACCAACCATCCAGTTTTCAATACAAGTATGGTAGTGTCGATGGAAGTACTTTTTAGTGTACAAACCAGACCTACACAAAATGATAGGATATTGTTCAATATTTAACCTGTAACTACTTCCTTAGGCAAAACTTGACACAAAATAGCCCGTATACCTACCTACAAACATGTACATCATTGTACTTATACCTACACACTACATTTGTACAATTCACTATGACCGACAATTTTCATATGTATCAGTAATTGATTGATTGAAAGATGATTAAATGAACCCCCATAGAGGCATAGATTCGATGCAGTGTTTCGTCGATCGAGTGAGCGACCTGAGAACGTGATTAGAATTAATTTCTCCAGTAGACGTGATGTTGCGACGGTGCATTGGCAAGTAACTATGCCAACCAACCAGCGGGGCTTACGATTGTTCTACATTCGTAATCTAAGTCAAAGGTACCGATGTACTCTTCAAACAGCGCATCGCTACGCGACAATGTCCAACATCTTCACGTTGTACACGCAAGGCAGTGTTTACAGAATTAATAAAATCCGTAAACAGGTATGTAACTTACGATACTCTTATCAAATTGAGTAACGCCACTAGAGTAATCAATTTCTTTAATCTATAGTAAACTCAATAACGAACTGTAAGTTTATTATCTGAGAACTACATTATTTACATTTGTTGTATACGGTTGTTACTTTTGACAGCCTGCTTGTAACGCGAGCCCATAATGCACCGTGAGAGCTGTGCAGTGCCTAGAGTTACCTGCGTATTATTTCTGTCAATTCTAAGGCTAAAACTAATTTTGTTTTTAGTAAACTCTTCTTGGTCATACCTAAAGTTACCTCAATAGATTTCTATGCATCTACTTCATAAATTATAGCTATGACGTAATGTTATTTTCGTCCAGGAACAGACGACAAAATTAAATGTATTAAATGCATTGTCTATCTGAGTTAATCGTGCTAATGTAATATGTGTGTGGGGTTCGTACCGGTCCAGCCCATTTCGTTGGCGACCTCGTGCCACAGTGTCTTCACTTGCGTGTAGTAGGAGGCGACGGGCATGTTGTTGCGCGCGTACAGCAGCGGCCGCTCGCGCACCAGCGCGATCATGCGCCTGTCGTCCGCTTGCGACGAGTCCACGAGACGTCCCACCTCCCCCACCGACCCCGCACCCGCCTCTGGGCCGACGCTCGCCTCGCTGATCACCCTCACCTGCGGTGCCATACGCTTGCGCTTGCTCGCCATCACCGCTCCGATCTGTCGTGTAGGTACACCGGCCGACACTCACTACTGGCCGGTCATCGACATTGAACTCGCAAAAAACTAGCGCGAAACAAACGTACAACTAACAACAGCATGTACACAAATATCTCTCTGCACGTCACACCACGCCGAGGGCGCGGAGCAAACACGACGACGCGCACAACGTCAGACAGACACGCGCAGCGAGAAGCAAGCCCGCAAACGTGCCTGTCTCGCTCGCACTCGCTCGGCATCGCGATGTAGGAACGGAGCGAACACGAAAACACGTGAAAAAGCAAGAGCGCAGACGCTCCGGTCGAGCGGGGTGAGGCGCGGCGCGGCTCGGAAGAGTGGGGGAGGGGGGGTTGAGGCCAGCTCTCGTTCGGCGCGCCGTTACTTTTATAAATTCCACATCGCTGGTTATCGATTCTCGCCGGCCGCAGCCCGCGGACCGCGACGGCCACCGACTGCTCTGTTATACTTACTATTTACAATTACATATATCTTGCATCTCTGGCTCTCTGTACATTTACTCTCTTCTGCTTACTCTTCTACTTCTAACAATGTCTGTGTTATCGCTTTTTAACTAGCCAATACTCCCATACATGAAGTGAATTAATTGAAGATGTACATTATAATATAATGTATAATTAGGTAATTACACATGTATTTAAAGCTGATATTATGTTGTAACTTATTGGTCGGCTTGGCACGTCGACTGACTTCACTGACAATATAAAATACTATTTACTTATAAAAATAGTGGTCACTTTTTTTGTTGGTCTTGTTGTCAGAACAACAAGACCTTTCCATGACTTTAATCGCCACAAACGAGTTCGAGTGTATGGTGGTGGCGCAATGGTTAAAGCGGTTTCTAGTACCTATTGTGGATTTGATTCCTACACGTGTAAGTGAACCACATATACTTGCGTTTCTTTGTGTTCGTTATTACATTTAATATATTTAAGCAACGGGGTAACAACTCGTGCTGTTGTTTAAAACTGATAACAACAACTGATGTAGTATCAGGCTAAGCACACAAATACACATAATTATACATAATATATGTATATACATACATACAAATCTGTCTGTGTGTAATATATTATACTGTTAGTATATTAGGTCTGTATTTGCGCTAGATGGGTGGCAGGAGCTGGATGCGAGAAGCCCAAATCGATCTAAGTGGCGTGCAATGGGAGAGGCCTATGTCCAGCAGTGGACTGCGATAGGCTGATGATGATGATATTAGGTCTGTGAGTTAAAATGGACAACAATTATGACAGAGTGGCCCTCACGCGATGGCAAAAAGAAAAGGGGAAGACAGGCAAAGGAATGGATAGACGACGTGAGAAAAATTAGAGGCGCTATCTGGACTAGAAAAGCTAGAGACAGAAAGGAGTGGAAACAGCTGGAAGAGGCCTATGTGTCATAGGACACGCTGATCCTAAACCGGATGTGTTAGATTTAAGTTCTTTATTATACTATTAGATTATACCTACTTGTGTTTAGTTGTTGAACAAAAAAGGCTTAATATAATAATGTTAGGTCTGCCCCGGGCTGGATTGCGTTTAGTCGCTGACACTTGAAGACTTCAAAACACGATCGCAGTGTTTCATGGCACGAGCCCCACGATTGCTGCATTTGTTGTGGAGCATTAGTAGTATTAGTACCTACACCTCTCAGTGTCGGACGTCTTTTCCTTAACAACAACAAAATACACTATATACCTATACCTATTTTGTAAACATTATTAAAACTCATACATTGAGTTTGGGGACACAATAAGTGTTGGTTTTCTTCTAACTAATAAAAGCCTTAGATGTTAATTAGGTCGTTTACTAGACATGGGACAAAATCACAGTAAACTGTGAATGAACGGTCATTTCTCATTTGATTTTTTCGTACGTAGGTTAGGGTTACTACTTACTTACGCGTTGTTGCCAATTAACTGTTTCAGACGATGCATAAAGACCCTATTTCGCCTATTTGACAGTAAATCTAGGAATTATTTTATTATATCTAGTTACCATTCCCTACATAACAATTAAAAAAATACTAGATTTACTGTTAAATAGCGTGTAACCTACCCACCTAGCAACCCTAACCTGCGCAAAATCGAATGATAAATTACAGTTCACTGTGATTTTGTCCCATGTCTAGTGTTTACATTTTAGATTTACAAAATGGAATTAATTTAATTAGTATTTAAATGTTTCGCAGCTGAGGGCCGTGGAAAATAAAGCTCAGCAAATCATATTGTCTGTTATGTATGAGGGACCCTTTACAAATCGGGATGAGCTCGAACCCCCTTGCCGGGTGGCGGCGCCCCAATAGGTATGTAAATTTTATATCCCCTGCCTTAATAGCTTGCACAGCTTTTATTCAAGTTAGCTTTTACTCATGTGAACTTTATTTGTGGACCATGCCATGAGTGACTATAGAAGTGAAAAAAAAACATTATTTCCTTATCAATATATTCGTAATACATTCGTACAACGTACTTAAATAATATCTATAAGTATATACCTACATAATATCTTTAAGTTATTTACAATAATATGGTAATTAGTTTTACACTATGTAGGTAATTACATGATCTATAAAGAGAGACAAAACAGAATCAGTTGAATGATGTTATAAACCTTATAATAAAGTTCTCACTATAAAGTAATAAGTTAAAATGATTAAAAATTCTACCATGGTACATTTATAATGTGAATGAGGTTGTCCGCCCGGAGGTGGCAGACTTACAAACGTTAACAAGTACGATACGAATATTATAAATAAGTACAGTTCCTGCGAACGTCACATTTGTCACGCTCGGGAGTCCGTCACTCGCGACAGAGAACACTGCGAGCGTCCCACACGCACTCACACACCACGTGGCACACAGACACTCGATACCGCACAGCGCGCTCGGCTTCGGCGCCACAACGCATCGGTATGTTCGCGACAGACACGTGCGCTTACGCAGCTTATTCGCTCTCCTCCGCTTCGTTATCCTCACCCTCGTCATCGTCTCCTTCCTCGTCTGTATCCTCCTTCTTCACCGTGGCGCGTTCCTTCTTTACTTTGGGCTGCCTCGTCTTACCCTGACGCTTTTGAGCGCGCTTGGCGGGTGGGGCGGCACCGACAGCGCCGGTAGCGTTAAACGCCTCCAGGTCGAGCGTGTACTGTTCCTTGGCGGCGGCGGCGCGCTGCTCCCACGTGGTTTTGTCCTCCATGGCGCGCCACAGCTCGCCTGCCTTCTTCGCCACCTCGGTCACTTTCAGCCCCGGGTGGTCGGCCTTGATCTGCCCGCGCGCACTGTTTAGCCACAGCAGGTACGCTGACATCGGGCGTTTCGGTTTGTCCATCATATCTGGCGGCAAACATTACGATTACAGTTAGATTAACACTTATCTCGAATGCAAGATTGTTATCGATTCTGCATAAATTTTCATTGTCTGTGCCTTAAAAGAGATGCCATCGTTAGCATTACCAGTAAACAGCTAGTGCAAGAATCGAGACAATAAAACGTACGCAAACTACAAACAGCAGAGTTATGTAAACAATGAAATATCAAAAACAGTACTTACTTAACGGCGGTTCGGTGCAGGTAATAGATTTGAAGCAATTATATTCGGTGAGCGCAGCGAGTCAGCGACGCAGCCCTTGTTCGCTCGAGGCTCGAGGACGCACTGTACGTCGCGCCGCTACCCCACAGGCCGGAGCCGCCGCGGGCCGTCGCAGGCCACGCCACGCCGCACCGCGGGCCCGCCCGAACTCGCCCGGCGCCCTGCCTGCGTTCTCATCAATTATATTACATGCTTCACTTTTTCTATCCGTTACACTTCTACAAGAACGCTCTAATGTGTTCATTGCTTTATGTTTTAGATATCCTTTACCATAGCTGTATAAGTTCAACGCTTTCGTTTATTTGTATCCTTTATTTGTATCTTAAACATGTGTATGTGAATCGGAATAACACCAATCGCCTCAGCGTAACTTGTTTTTATACATTTTAATAAAGAAGGAATTTTGTTTGAAAATTGTGGATTACAATTTCTGCGTTAAAAAATGTATTTTTAAGCGCAAATGAACAACAAATATAAAGTTTTACATGGCGAAAGAACTTTTATAATTAATTACGAAGTGAAGTCGTGCGCGGTGCCTACGTTTTTTACGACACTTTTTAAAAGCTCTTATCTTTACAGCCATCAAGAAAGTTGTGCGATAAATTGGCACCGGAGCAGAGCGGCCGGGCCCCACTAAAAGTGACGTCAACTCGGGATCGTATGATTGTTGGTGGAATGAGCGCATCAGCTTTTTATCGTAAATTGGCATCATTTTTACGAGCAGCGCATTCATCCCCCAGTCCTGCGTCCCACGCCCCGCGCTCCTATGCACGGCTCGGCCCACCGCCCCACTCGACAGTTTAAGGGTTTCAATTTAGTTACGAGATTAGCTGGCCTACGCTCGCATTAGAGCTGGGGACGTGCCGATAAAGAATGCTGAGGTAATCACTGAAGGTTTGAGAGCACAAGCGTGTACTTAACCTCCTGTCCTAATCTGCCACAAAAACTTAACATCGCTATCACCCATAAACTTCCACGACTGTCCAGGTACTCCTTGTTCACACCTAAGCGATACAAAACTAACCTTGGCTGTCTATCCTTTAAATAGGCTCCAGGCCTATAATTATATTAGTAAAAATAAGGATATCGATATGTTTAGATTAAGTTTACCTTCTTTTAAAAATACACTATTATTGTTAAGCTGAGATATATGTAAAAGGATTTTTATTGTAGATTTTTAAGTAGTTATTATGTAAGAAAATGTCTGCTCAAGTTTTTTTGAATCAGGGGAAGCCTTTTGTTATTATGCTTTCCGTGGCAACCTGTAATTAACGCAGCAGCAGCACTAATGCTTGTATACCATTGCCATTGTATCTCTTGCTTTTAAGGTGTTTGGACAACCAACTGGAAAGTTGGTTGTCCAAATAAATAAATTAAATAAAAACTTGCCTGCAGTCACACCACGCCGATGGTACAACCCCTCGTGCAGCTAGTTGCAGCTAGTTAGCTACAGAGCCCTTTACTTGTTAAGATAGATCATTTGATGTCATTATTTCTACTGTAAGCTTAAGATATTAGTTTAATGTACATACATTCGATAAGAATCATAAGTTAACTTACGGGCAAATTCTTTGTCAATGTAACACAATGTGTTATAATGTTTTGTAAATCGTTTTGTCAAGTTTTTTAGTTAGCTGTCTTGATACTTGCTGTCAACTGTTGAAGCACGTAGGCGCCTGAAGTATCATGAAGTAGCGAAATGAGTTAACTGTAGCATAGGATTGGGAGCTAAAGATGACACGGATAAGTGATAAATTAACCAAAACCGTTTATAGCTGCCTGTGCCTCGTGTAGAGATGTTAAGGGCCTCAGATGCATTTTGTTTCGAGCGGACGAAGAAATTAGACAATGAACAGAGCTTTTATTCCGTTCACGAGTCTGAAAAAAATACCGCTTCTCACTCTTTTCACTTCAGAAATATTTTTAGTTATGTTGTTATTCTTTTTATTTAACTCTGCTAACTAAACTATCTGATACAGGAAGATACATATTTATACAAGTTATGATATTTAACGGTCACCTGGACTAATCGTTTTATCTAATGTAATTCATCCGTAACATATTTTATGCAAGATACATTTAATTTCATCATTATTATACAAAAACTTGTCAACTCACATGTCAGTCAGTCAGTTACCCCTAATTGTAAGATGTTTTTAATAGGTGTGTGTGTGTGTGTTCGTTTGAAGTGCCTGAACACACGCCAAGATAAGGGCGTCCAACAATGACCACGACATGACGTGTTTCAGCTACCTGTGCAGAAAGAGCAGGTACACAAGCACTGCAAACCACACAATTGAATAACGGAATAATGTTTCTCAAGCCCGTACAGGGATCATCAACAGCCTTTACCAGTCCACGACCGGACACAGGCCTCTCCTTAGAAAGGAGGTCGTACAGGGATACAAAAATGTAAATAGGTACTGGCCTTTTTGTGTGTTGTTGTTGTCACTGACCGATTTTTATAAAATTTACTACCAGCTAGCTGTCTATGTAAGGAGTAACTTAGGCTATTTTTCCGGGAATGAGGGTTTTCGATACTTTTTCTGCCACCAGACGGCGCTTCGTATGCGTCAGATCCAAACAGCTGTGAGATAGCACAGATTCTTACCGAACGTATATTTTTTTAGTGAAATTCTATGTATTTGGAAGTATTATTGAGTTTATTATGGATTACGGCCAGATAAAGGTTGCCTAACTGAAGATTGAGCTCAAAAAGAGAGGCACAAAAGTTGTATTTGCACACAGAGGCACTGCACAACTGTGGCATTTTAGAAAACAATATTCCCTTTGTAACGTTTTTAAGAATGAATAAACCAAAAAAATGATCTATAAATTCAAATCATGTATGTGTTTTGACAGGTGGTTGGAGCTGACGCTACAGTGCTGCCATCTCAAGTGGAACATTTCAGAAAACCCTCATTGAACCCGAGGCCTCATTTACTGCATTGCCACGCGAACGAAGTCGCGGATACCAGCTAGTATTTTATAAATTTGTAAAAACAGTTTTCGGAATACACAAAACCACAATTTTTATCTGGCCTTTTTTACTGCAAAACTTTTTTTGGCTGTATTAAAAAAAAGCCAAATATAAAAAAGCATGTTTGCGAACTTTGAATTGGAATAGGTGTTTTTTGGATATTTTTTATTTTTATAATAGGCCTACCGCGGCCAGTTATTAGGGACGGCTGATCGTGACAACATGCACTGATGATGACAAGAAATTACTCAAAGTACCTAAACAATCTAAAGGATAGCGCAAATTGGACGCACTGCACCGCATCGCATTATGTGTAAAATATAAGTATTCTACATAAAATTTGTATAATGTAATGTACAAAAGAATTAGTTATTTTGTACATTTGAAGTGATAACAACATTTGCCCGCGCAGAATTTGCCTACTCTTATATTATTATCTGTCCTGCATATGAACGAACGATGGAACGCGTTATATCACACTAGCTTTTGCCCGCGACTCCGCCCGCGTTTATGTCGGTTATCGCGGTTAAAAGTAGTGTTTCCTATGTGTTTCCTCAAGAATCAAAGGACATACCAAACCAAATTTAATCTAAATCTGTTCAGCGGTTATTGATGCCCCATACAAACTTCCCCCCAAGGGGGTGTTAAAGTTTTACCTCCTTAAAGGATGATTTATTGGATAAAAACTACCCTATGTCCTTTCCCTTGATTCGGACTGTCTCTGTACCGGTTACAGCGTAAAGAGGTAACAGATAGACAGACAGACACATTTTCGCATTTATAATATTAGTATGGATTGACCAGACGCGATGCTTCCTTGCATGACATATGAAAAAAAAACCGGCAAAAGATTCCGAAAAGTGGTTGCATGTGTAAAAGTGCTTGCAGGTGGTTTGCTTCTTTATAGCACACGACGAGAAATTTGGTTCAAATTTAAGTGGGATCAATTGATGTCCTTAGAGCGTAGCGCTGAGTTACACCCGTTGTTAGACAAACACAGTACATGTGTTTGGCTAAAGTGATGTGTTTGATTATGGGAATCCAGGCAAATAATATACCTCAACAACATGCGATGAATTAATTCGGCTTAAGGGAAACAAAGTTTGGAAGACAACTGTAATGGAAATATTAACTATCCATCCGCCATAAGTGCAGGCCTGGGGGTGACAGGTGAGGCCATCTGTCACGTCTGTCTAGGGTATACCTGGTTCCCCAGCTACTGGCCCGAGACATCGTGCGGTTTCTAGTCAGTTCGACATAACTATCTTGTAGTTTTGAGGATAATGTTCCTGAGAGCCAAGACGGCGCTTCACCTTAATTTAGTGAGCTATTAACTTGCTTGCACCCTCATTTATCTTACAGCGCGCAACTGCGGATACTAAATATAGCCAACAAATAAAACTGTAGAGACACCATATGTTATTCCGTCAACTAGAACACCAACAACCTTTGCACACTGTTTTTAAATAAGAGAACCCCTCACCCTTCCTACATTCCAACATTTTGGTGTGTCACCACAATTGGTGAAAGGTGTAATTTTGCCCATTTAGTGGGCATTTACATACACAGATTTAATTGTACCCACACATTCAGCGTTATAAAGGCATCTCACGTTACAGTTACAGGTGATATTGAGCGCAGTGTTCACATACACGGTTGCATGTGGAGGAACTCACTTCTAGGTGTTAAGCAACAGGATACTTTTATGCGGTGAGCTTTGTGACAGTGCCGTACCTTTTTCATTATTCACAAAAAAATATCGGAAGGAACTGAAAAAATCCCGTCGCGTTCTGCGAATCCCGTAATGGCGGTATTTATGTGAAGGTGGGCCAGTGGCACATGGTAACACATGCTTCTTTTGACAGTAAACAGCTGTTCGTAGTGTTCCCGGAATACGTTAACGACGCCAGCCACATCAGCTGATCGATGCCCGCGCCGGATGCGGCTCCGTGTCCCGAGTCCGTCTACTTCTGTTTGATTATTGTTTGCCGTGTGTATCCTTCACCCAAACACTATACTTGTCACTTCCTATTCAATCTTAAGCAATAAATGTTTATGAAAAAATATGTAGTGGTATTAAATGATAATTTACTTAACTTATTTATGTTGTACGTTGGTGGTTTAATGTCCTCTCGCCCTCCTAAATAAATAATTTTTCAATAAAATTTGTTCTCGTGCTTTCTAATTGCAGTACTTGTTTTTAGAGTTCTGTACCTCATGTACTCTGTTGGTGTGTCTGTTTATCTCGTGCACTCTAGTCTCTA